ACATAGTCCAGCTTCTTAGATCATTTTTTTAGTATACAGATTGAATAAGTATGGTGAAAATACACAACCTCGATTCACACATTTTCCAAATTTAAACCACAGTTCTTTGAAATTTTCATTTCTTGCAATACTATTGCATAGTTGTTATAACTGCCATTGCCTTTTCCTCATCAATAAAACACTGGTTGTTGTTGTTAGGTGCCATCGAGTCAGTACCAACTCATGGCGACCTTATGCACAGCAGAACAAAACACTGCCTGATCCTAGGCCAATGTCACTATTGTTGCCACACTTGAGCCCATTGATACTGCCACTTTGCCAATCCATCTCGCTGGGGGTCTTCCTCTTTGTCTCTGACCCTCCACCTTACCAAACACGATATCCTTCTCCAGCAACTGGTCCATCCTGCCAGTAAAACACTGGTAATATATTTTATTTGTTCTTTGCATTCCACCAGGATCCAACTGACACAGGCAATAACATTCCTTTTCTACATTCTCTTGTGAATCATGCTAAATTTAAATATTATTTGAACAAAAATCCATATGTAATATTAATGATACTGTTTCTTAACTTCGTATTCTGTTAGATTCCTATCTTTGGAATAAGCATAGACATGGATCTCTTCCACTCCCTTGGCCAAGTAACTGTCTTCCAAATTTCTTAGCAGGGATGAGTGTGTTCATACAGCATTGTGTCTCTTTGTGAAAACATTTCAACTGATATTCTATAAATATCTTGAAACTTTTTTTATTGTCTGTTTGTTTTTTTTTTAATACTTTCAGTGTGTGCATCTTGAATGCCTTTCTTCAGTACAAAAAACTCTAGAACCTTCAACTTTTATTCTCCTATGAGTTGATAAATGGTATTATTTAAGTCAATGTTTTTCAAGCTTTGATGTCATTCAAATCACTTGGTGATCTTATTAACCTTTAAATTCGGATTCAGAAGGGACAGAATGGTATCTGAATGTTTGAAATTCTAACAAATGTTCATCTGATTTCTAATCTACCCATATACTGAGTCACAATTATTTAAGCTATTTTTAATTTGAAATTAAGTTCCTTGAAGCCAGAAGCATCTTAAATGAGAACACTTAATAGAGAGGGGCTTGTAAGTTGACTTAGAACTTGTAGTCCGAGTATGCAAGATGAACATTAGGATTCACCAGTTAAAAATGCATGGTTATGTTTACTGCTTTGAGATAATCAAAGTCTGAGTTCAAATTCTGGTTCTATCGTTCACATACTGATAGAGCCTGATGAACAAAATTATTTAAAATCTGAATCTTGATTTCTTCATCAAGGATCATTGCCAAATATATTGCATGGTTTATTTGAAGATTAAATAAAAATTAAAGGTAAAATGCCTAGCACAGCTTGAGGTACTTAGGAGGTACTGAAGTTCTTTTCTATGAAGCCAATCACTGATAAGGAATCAAGTATCCTCAAGACTTATAGACACCAACCGTAATTTGCATAGTTCACACAATGTGAGACCTGATAGAAAAGGGCAGCCTGTTGTCATCAGCCAGGTGGCATTCCTAATATTTCCTAGTATACTCAGTTTCAGTATCAAAGACCTGTGATGCTTGTAATGTTGTTGCTAAGTGTCATCCAGTCAGTTCCGACCCATAGCAACCCTATATAGGATTTCCAAGGAGTAGCTGGTGGGTTTGAACTGCTGACCTTGAAGCTCAGCACATTATCCTGCAGTACTACACCAGGACGCCATGCTTGTACTAGATGATCTTAAATGTATTTTGAAGCAAAAAAAAAAAATCAAAATTGACTACATTTACTTTTTAAGTGTGTCTGCCTTATTTTGTGAGGGAAGACACTTATGAATTTACAAGTTATTTCCCCTACTCTTAATGGAATATTGCCAAACAAAATAAGACTGTTGTCAACTGATCTGATCAGTGGTGATGGTAAGCACTCTTTCTTCGTTGTAGAAAATTGGGAGTTGATGTGATTTTCGTGAACGATTATTCTGCCTGTTGTGACTAAATATTACAAAATGCTTTCTGGATTAGTGGTTGTATATTTGAGTCTTTGTTCCTAAACACCCTTGTTGTTGTTATGTGCCCTGGAGTTGGTTCTGACTCATAGCGACCCTGGACAGGGTTTCTGAGGCTGCAAATCTTTACGGGAGCAGAAAGCCTCATCTTTCTCCCGTGGAGCAGCTGGTGTTTTGAACTGCTGACCCTGAGGTTCGCAGCCCTATTCATAACCACTATGCTACCAGAGCTCCTTCACTTTTATTTATTTATTTTGTATTTTTTGGAAGATTGGTCAGGTATTTATTTATTTATTGGCATTTATTTATTTATTTTGTAGTTTTGGAAGATTGATCAGGTTCCCATGTTTGCATGCTTTGGTTAACGCAGTGATTTTGCAGTAAATGGATGCTTCTTGACATATAGTATAATGCTAGAGACAGGAGTCTTACTAATGACTTCCCAGGGATATCATTCATGGACAGAAAGAACTCTATATTTTCAAGAAAAAACCAAAACCCAAAACCTCAAATCAAAAATTAAATAAACACCCCATATTTTAATATCTCATTTGTCCTTTTAACATTAGGGAACTCATGTATGTTCCAACACAGCTTCAGTGTCATATACTTTTTAGCATCCCCATCAAATGATTCTTAAAAGTATCTGGAACTATGTGTTTATATATTCAGAATCCTTTTTCAGATGGAGTGAACAGGCTTAATCATACATCCTCTTTAGGGGGCTTGTAGAGCAGAGAAGCTGAGAATGTGAACTTTTAAGTTGGATAGAGTTAGAATTTTTTATGTGGTACGATGGATTAATGTGCTGGATTGCAAAGTTGGTTTGAACTGCAAGGTTGGAGATTCAAGCTCACCAGCTACTCCTTGGAAACCCTGTGCAGGGACGCTATGAGCTGGAACCAATTCAAAGGCACTTAAGAACAACAAAATTTATGCAACCTTGAGCAAGTTACTTCTCTGAGACTCAATATCTATATCTGTAAAATGAGAATAATACTGTCTTTTTCAGGGTATGTGTGAAGATTGAATTTGATAATTCATTTAGTACATGTGTGCCCATAAATCTTAGGTAGAAATGCCTTATTCAAACCTGACTATGATTTCCTTATTCTCATTTTATTTTTTCTTATGATAATATTCATAGTGGTAAACACCATGGAAAAGAAGGGTTTCCCCTGAAAGCAGAACCTAAGTCAACAGTTGCTACAGATGTAGTTAATTTGGGGAAGTTATTCTGGAGAAGAGGTTTACAGAGTTTAGACGAGTTAAATGGGAAGAGTGAAAGAGAAGGGAATGCAGTTATGGGCAACTGGGGCCCATTGACTTCTCAAAGTCCAGTGTAGAATATACAGGAGAAGGAAAAAGGGGGCCGGACACTTGTTCCTGACTTCCAGTAATTAAGTTTCAATGAATGTTAACGTAGGTTACTGTATGCCAGTAACGAGTTGGTTGGTTCTAGAAGGTGGTTGGCATTGGAATCATTGAATCCTCAGAGCAAAAGTGAAATCTAGTGAAGCAGAGGGGTCAGATTATATTATGCAAAGCTAGTTACCACAGAATACAAATGTGTTCAGATGAGGTGTGAAAAGACAAATAAGTATATTATACATGATTATTCATAGACACCATGGACCTTCAGTTAACCTAAAGTTTTGAGAAATTGGTTCCCATGTACTTTTGTTTAAATACTCACCATTTGAAGGACAATGGCTTAGATAACTCTCTGTAAGGAAAGACCTATGTAGGAAAAGACACAGCATTCAAATAGACCCACAACTGGTATGTGTGAGGCCTCAGTGATGACTTCTATTCAAAATATCCACACCAAACAGCAGACATATTCTTAGAGAGAACTTAAAGTTGTGTTTTGAGGAGCTTCCCTTCCTCTAGTCCTGTCAGGAAACTCAAAACATTAAGTATAATTTCTCAGTCTCTGACTCCTGGTGTGGCGCTGTAGAATCAGCACTGGACTGAGACCCACAAGGTCAGAAGTTCAAACCCACCAACTTCTCCTCAGAAACCCTATACAGGGTTGCTATGAGTCAAAATCAACTCAGTGGCACTTAACACAACACACACACAACCCTATATAGGAGTGTTATGAGTTAGAACCAACTTGACAGCACGTAACAACAAGAACTATACTAGGATATTCCTTCATGGAAGCAATTGAAGTGAAAAATAATACTTTCCCTTTCAAGAATACTTTTAAAAAGTTCATCTCTGTGGATCGTTTAAAGTTGATTATTTTATTGAAAACATTTTTTGGCTTAACTTTAAAAGAAAAACAAATGCATGTCAAGCTTGCTACCAGGTTACCAGGGAACTCTTTGTTTTTGTTAGCTCTGAGTGAGTCTCTGACTCACAAGTACTCACAAGTATATCAAAGGCTGTCCCATCCTGAGCCATCTCCATGTTTGGTTGCTAATCAGACATTATGAATCATAAGTTTTTCATTGGCTGATTTTTTGAAGGGTATTCCCAGGCCTTTATCCTAGTCCATTTTAGTCTCGAACCTGTGTTAAAACCTGCTCAGCATCATTGCAACATGCAAACCTCCACTGACAGACGGGTGGTGTCTGACCATGAGGTGCATTGTCTGGGAATGGAACCATGCATGGATTCTACCATTACCTAGGGAACTCTGGAAATGCATGTTTGCATGTGAAGAAATGGAGATATAACCAAGGATAAGTGTATAAAGGAAATAATTCTATTTCATGATTCCTTTCATATTTGGTGACTACTTGTTGGTAAACATTCCCTTTCTCAAAATTGCCTGATTATGAAAACTCAAAGACTCATGGGCATGAAAATTTTTCTTCTTCTGACTATACAATATGTCTTGATTTGAGTCATGTGTAGTCTTTAAGGTCAAAGTGGGCTCCAGACAAACGTAAGTCACATTAGAAATTGTATTAAATTAACTGAAAAATAGATAAACACTGGTGATGATAATAAAACAAAAGAAATAATGAACAGGAAGAAGTAAATCCTTTTTTAAAATGTTACTCAAATAGACATCCAATAAAACCACATTTTTCAGACAGCATAATTATTGTATCATAAAAAAATCTAGTGGCTCAAGTTTAAAATATTGATTAAAAAGCTTCAGTTGGACACCAAATCAAACTAAAAAGAAATTTCCATCTTAATAAAATAGGCAAAATTTTCCAAGTAAATGTTACAACTTGTTTTGTTTTAAAAAAATGTTTACCATTTGTGAAAAAGATCTGAAATGGTTTGTCAAAAGAGAGAAAGTTACCACTTCAAACTGAACCAAAAGGGGCAGTGAAGCTACAACTGCAAAGTGTCTAGGAGACATGTTGACTACCCAATATGATACTCATGTTTCTAAACCTTCAGGTTTGTTTGTTGGTCCTTCCATAAAACGGGTGCATGATAAACAAATTCTGAAAAGTTTCGAGGTCCCTCTTGTTGTTCTGACATCATGGTAATCTAGCCTTTCCTACAACCACAAAAACATGATTTACTCTCTAGGTTTATTTGAACGTCAAAGGGTAATTACACACTTTTGGATATCTTCTGGAAGATCTCTTAATTGAAGCAAGAAGAGCCTCTTGGACTTAAGTCATCAAAGTTAATATTCTCATGATTTACATTGACTTCATACAGTCAGGTTTATTTTTCACTTTCAAGTTACTCACTACTGCAAGTCAACATAGTACAGGAATTGATGTATTTTTGCCTTCTATTCAAAATAAACAGCAAATGCTGCTATTTGAAATTTTTTTGGCCAATGGATAAAAATTACTCATTTCTTATTCTCACCAGAAGAATGTAAATTAAACAGTAACAGATGCATTGGATAGGCATGAATACTAAATAAAAACTGTCAAATGAAATAATCAAATTCTTTGCTTTTTCAATAAAAATGAGAATTGATTCTGCATTGACAGAGAGAAGTTAAAAGACTATTTTTAAAAAAGCCTTCTCCACTAAAAGAGCAAAATAGCACTCAGTGGCATTGTATTGTTAACAAAATTTCTTTATCAGAAACTATAATTTAATATTTAAGTATCTAATTTACATGTGACAAGGTATCATATCCAAAAAAATTAAATTGCAACTAGAAAACTATTAACCACTAAAAACAATACCAAACACAACCCAAGCATTTATAGGAAAGCAATAGCTAGAATTCGAATTGAAAAAATGTGTCGTCATAATTTGGCTCATTTAACAAAGCATCCATTATAGTCTGTAAAAGAGCATCGCATCTAATTCATCAAAATTGTATCCTTTGCACATGAATAACATGTAAAGAGTTTTAGAGACTGCATATGCACACCTGTGTGTATATATATTGTGAGGCAAACACTTGTGTGCTAATTTAAAGATATTGTATCTATTTTCTGACCAGTGACTGAACTTCAGAAGGTGCTGAAATCCGTATTTCTACATGTCCTTGGACCCATTTAATAATGCCTTTTTTAAAACAGAAATTACATAAAATACTCTGTGTTTTTATTAACTGAACATTTTCATAAGCATAATAATAGACAATGAAAGAATTGCACTTATTGTAAAGGGTACAGTAAAGTGTTAGACTGCAGCTCAACCATCAGAGGTCAGGGACCATTATTGTCTTGATAAGTTGTGCATCATATGCAAAGATAATGATGGCTCTAGAAATTAAAAGGAGAGCAACTACTTATAGAACAAACTATAGAACAGGGGAATAACAAAAGAAAACATGCAGTGTTTTCTACTTTAATGCAAAACTAATCTCTCCCAGGGAACCAACCCTTTGACCTTTTGTCTACAAAGAAAGAGATTCTGCACCCTTGGTAATACAGTAGACTTGGACCTCTGTATTCAAATTCTAATTTATTGTCTCTGAGGAGTGTGCTGTTCCCGTGTCATCTCCTTAAGCTGCCCTTGAAATTCTCAAGCATCTGCAATATTACAGTCTCTTGGTTAGGTTTCATTGAGCCTCAATATATTCACTTCAGTACAATATAAATAGGGTCTATTATTCATCTTCTTCTGGTTCTTGTGGTAACACAGGTATTTCTTCCTTTAAACAATCTCTGAAGAATCTAAGGATTGTGCTGTAGAGGTGATACTTGCTCTTTTCAGATAGGTTATGACCTTCATCTGGGTAGACCTAAGATGTGGATGGGAAAAGAAATTACAAGTTACCAAGACAGCTCTTCTACTTTCCTTTAGTGTTCATTCTTTTAGCCCCAATGACAGGAACTGTAGGAAAAGGTATCTAACAAAACTTTCACCTAATTCATAGTCAAGATTTGATTAACCACAGATTTTTTTTTTCTTTAATTTGTTCTGTTGTTTAAATTTAAGGTAAAACTCATTGGCGAAAATAAATAGGTAAACAAAGGCTTTTCTCTGTTCGTATCCTTTCCAAGATAAATGGCATTACTGATTTGTTATTAAAGTACAAATAGGATTACATAAACTCTCAGTTGAAACTGGAGTCCTGGTGCAGCATTGTAGGATAAACACTGGACAGCAAGGTCAGTTTGAACTGCAAGGTCGACAGTTAAAATCCACCAGCTGCTCCTCAGAAACCCTATACAAGATTGCTCTGAGTTGGAACTGAATCTGGGGCAATTAACATCAGTGAAAACATTTTAAATGATCCTTAATTGGTCTTTGGATAAAATCCCATACTCTTTAACACAGTGTCTGGCCCTTCACATATTAATCTCTATATTTTCATCTTTTGTTGCCTAATCCTGGTACTTTGTACATTAGATATGTAAGTTCTTCTAGATGTTGAGGAAATATACTTAATGTTTTTCATTTCCAGGACTCCTTCCACCCCTCCTCCCAGACTGTAAGCTCCCACTGTATAAAGCAAACCCTTCAACTCATCTTCTGGAATCCTGGTGTGGCACTGTGCATTAATGCGCTAGACTGCAAAGTTGGTTTGAACCACAAGGTGTGCCATTCTAGCTAACCAGCCACTCCTCCGAAGCCCTATATAGGCTTGCTATGAGTCTTAACTGACTTGACAGCACTTAATAACAATTGACCCATCTGAAAATAGTGGTCACTCATTGTATCAGAAAGTTCTTGACAAATATTTACAAATGTGGTTGAATGTAAATGATGTTTGATGTTTGATCATTTCTTATAATATTTTTCTGAAACACCTTTTCTGACCTTCTAAGATAAGTTTGATGAAAAGATAGAAAAGATAAGAGAAGTCACAAGGCAAGAAATAAAAATATATTCATTATAATAATATGGTTACTATTTTGAGAAGACATTTTCAAAAGAGTTCATACAATCTACTTGTACTACACTAACTGATCCACATTCTCAAAACAATTAGGAAGAAAGAACACAGTCTCTGATATTTCAAAAACATGATGAAAAATAACACCATCAGTGGGGGTAGGTGGAGTAGTGTAGAGGTTAAGACAGAGGGGGATGACAGTTAACACAATGGGCAGTGGAAGAGGTGGTCCTAAAGCATGGAGATCAGATGTCGCTGTCGGCTAAAACATTTTCCTTAATCAACTGAGAGGATCTGATTTTAAATATCTGTTTTATAAACTCACTAAAGTTGAATGTCTGACTCAAGTTCAAAGAAAGAGACTTATGCTATAAAGATGCAAGTCACTACAGAGCTTAGCCCTTCTTCTTCTTGATCAAGGGGCTATTGCCGAGAGACCCAAGCATGCTCCTTGCAACCAAAAGACCAAAGTAGAAAGATACATTCTTCTGAGAAACTACTTACCTGCATTGTATAATTCAATCCAGCTTTTATTAGGTGTTTGATTAATTCTGCAGAATGTTGGAAATGAACTTTTGCTGCAAGAAATTAAGTTATGATATTTGAATGAAATAAATTTACTAGGACCAGATTTTCTTTTTTTTAATATACCATTGCTTTCAAAAACATTGACTGTTTTATTTTACATATGCTATGTGAAGGATATCATGTTCGGTAAGGTGCAGGCAGAGAAAAAGAGGAAGACCCCCAATGAGATGGAATGGCCAAGGGGCAGCATTGATGGAATCAAGTGTGGCAACAGTAATGAGGTTGGCCTAGGATCAGGCAGTGTTTCGTTCTGCTGTGCATAAGATCGCTATGAGTCGGTACCAACTCAATGGCACCTAACGACAACGACAACAACACATTTAAAATAATGGTATCCAGGGTTAACTAGAAAGTCAATGGCCAGGATGCTGATTAAAATGTTGATCTGCACCTTATAAATAAAAATTAAAACAGGAACTACCAGTAAACTTCTACTTACTATTTAGGATGATATTTGTTGCTGTTGTTGTTAGGGGCTGTCGAGTCAGTACTGACTCGTAACAACCCTGTACACAACAGAACAAACCACTGCCCAGTCCTGGGCCAACCTCACAATTGTTGCCATGCTTGAGCCCATTGATGCTGCCACTTTGCCAACCCATCTCGCTGGTGGTCTTCTTCTTTTTCTCTGGCCCTCCGCATATTTGGTAAGGTGAACGATGATATTTAGATTTACTTTATTGGGTTGTTGTTCTTGTTGCTGTTAAGTGTTGTCAAGTTGATTCTGACTCACAGAGATCGTGTACAGGATTTCCAAGGAGTGGCTTGGTGGGTTTGATCAGCTGACCTTGTGGTACATCATAGGGTTTCCAAGATTGTAAATCTTTACAGCAGCAGACTACACATTTTTCTTCCACAGTAGCTGGTATGTTCAAACCACTGACCATTCGGTTAGCAGCTGTGTGCTTAAACTACCATGCCATGAGGCGCCCTCTATACTGGTATCAGTAACTAAAGTAAGACTGTCCCTATAGCATTCATTTGTAATGTGTTCCTTCCTAGACATGGCTATTATAAGTCTAATTGTCTGAGTGAAATGATTTGCTGGCAATTTTTAAAGGTAATATTAATAAGGATAGCATTACAGTTCATCAAGAACCTATAATCCCACAAGCCCATAACATAGTGTTTGTACATGTGTGTGTACATGCATTCGTGTGCCTGTGTGAAAACATACATGCTTCCAGTAAAAGTAGTCTGAATCTCCCTTTGCATTCTGTCAGGAGGTGAGGGAGCACTAAAACTCTTACTGAGTAAGTCAGATAGGAATGACATGGTTTGCTTTAATAGCTACAGCATATTGACAGAGACATTTGAAATACCCTTAATATATGCTTTAGGGTGATGTCTAAATGTAGTTTAACCTTAAATATAATTTATTTGTTCAGAGTAGAGTGAATAAAAGTTTCAGTATCTGGATTCAAATCCCTTTTTCAATATTACTGTGATTTTTAGCAAGTTACGTAAATTCAACACATTTTTATTTTCCAATCTGTTAAGTAAGAAAAGTAAAAATTCTGACTATATAAAATTTATGTGAGGAACAAATAATATATTATTAACCACTTTTAGCCCATCTTCCTAACAAGTAGTCAGAATTTACGCATCACTGCTTATTACTATTTAGGTTACCTTGGATGGTATAAACTGTTATGCATACAACTACTAACCAAAAGGTTTGCAGTTTGAGCCCACCTGGAGGCACCTTGAGGAAAGGTCTGGCAGTCTGCTTCTGGAAGGTAACAGCTCTGAAAACGTTAAGGTTTGCCATCCTACTCTGCAATGCAGGGCATCACCAGGAATTGACTTGATGATACGTAGCTTGTTTTCATGACTATTCACACGAATGCATGAATGTAAGGTCTTAATATGTTAAAACTAAGTTCTCCTATCCTGGTGTGGCACTATAAGATAAGCACTCAACTGCAAGATCAGAGGTTCACACTCACCAGCCCTGAAATGCTATATAGAGTCCCTACGAGTCAGAACTGACTCAACAACACTTAACAACAACAACTGTCCTTCAAAGTTTCTGCTCATTTTTATTATTTTTCACTAAGAAAATAATTGGTAAAGTATCTAAATCCTATATTATAAAATCATTTCATTTTTTATTTTTAAATTTTCAGAAAATTAGCAAAGATAGCAAGCAAAGTTCCCATGTATCCCTCAGCCGATCTCCACGATTTTTTATGTTTTCTTTTGGTACATTAAGGGTCCTGGTATGGCATTGTAGGATAAACACTAGACTGCTTACCTCAAGATAACTGGTTAAAAACCAGCCACTCTTAGAAAACCCTTTAATCAGGGTCTCTATGAGTCACAAGGAGCTCTGGTAGCATAGTGGTTATGAATCAGGCTGCTAACCACAAGGTCGGCAGTTCAAAACTACCAGCTATTCTGTGGGAGAAAGATGAGGCTTTCTGCTCCCGTAAAGATTTACAGCCTCGGTAACCCTGTCCAGGGTCACTATGAGTCAGAACTGACTCCACGGCACATAACCACCAACCACCACCAAGAGTCAGAGTCCACTCAATAGCCCTTAACAACAACATGCAGGTTACCAAAGTACATTTGCCATGTGCCTTTAAAGTGGTCTGCGTTTCTCAGATTGTCCTTATTTTGATGACTTTTGACTGTTTTGATGATTACGGTCAGTTATTTTGTAGGAAGTTCAGTTTGGTTTTGTCGGATGTGTTTCTCAAGGTTAGACTTTTGGGAGGAAGACCACTGAGATAAAGTGCTATTCTCATTCTATCATATCAAAGGGTACTTGTGGTCAACATGACTCATCACTGTTCCTGTTAGCCTGGATCAACTGTCTGAAAGAGTGTACATTTGGTTTCTTTGTGTAAACTTTCTAATTACTCACTTTCCATACAGTATTCCTTTAGGAGAAATTTAGTAAGTGCAGCCCAAACTCAAGGGTAGGAAAGAGAGAGAAACACTGGCTCCTTGGAGGGAAATATCTAGATAAAACATTTGAATTATTCTGTTAAGGGAAAGTTAGTTACCTTTTATCCCACATTTATTTATTCAATCATTTATTTATAACAATATGCATGTAGGGTATAATCTCAATATTGCCTGACATGGTTGAGACTAACTTCTGGAAATAGTTATATAATAATTTTGATAATGGGAATGTCTTAGCAATTTTTTGTCTGTAAAGTAAGCTAAATATATTAAGGTAGGGCAGTGTGATTCAGTGAAAACAAGTTTCAAATGTACGAAATATTGATTCAAGACTATGACTCCCTTGCTTACTTGCCAGGTTGTTGTTGTTACTGTGTACCGTTGAATTGGTACCAACTCAGAGAGAGCCTGAATAGGGTATCGAAGGAACAGCTTCTGAGTTTGAACTACCCACCTTGCAGTCTAATGCTTATCCTACAGCACCACACCAGATGGCCTTGGGTAAATCACTTTTTCTTCTTGCCTTGAAGTTTACTTTTCTTATCTATGAATGGGGCTATAAATATTTTGCATCCTATTGTAAGGTACCACCTAAGATAATAAAAATATGATTTGAGTCCTAAAACTTTGGGTTAATATAAAATAATAGTATTTATAATTGTGCTGCTGGATAATGCAAGGTCGGTTTGAATCATAAGATTGCTGGTTCAAATTCACCAATAGCTTCTCAGAAACCGTAGACAGGGTCACTGTAAGTTGGACCCAACTCAAAGACACTTGACAACAACAACACCAATCACATGCATTTCCAATGTGTAAAATGATAAATAAAATGGGTAGCATTATAAAAATGGCTTTTTAAAAGAACTGTATTTTAATCCATTGAAGTGAGTTGTCTTATCAGAATTTCACCTTACTATTGATATATTTTTGCTCTACTATTATCTTCCAGACAAGTGGCCACTTGATCTGTTCAGAATGATAGGACAGCTCCTGCCCACATGTGACTGTTTAAATTAAAGTAATTAAATTAAAAACATTGAAAAATTCAGTTCCTCACTCACACTAGCTACTTTTCAAGTGTTCAAGAATCACAAGTGACCAGTACAGATATAAATCACTGAAATTTTTTTCAGGTTCATTTAACCTCTTCTCAGTATTGAGATTCCTTCCTCCTACTATCTGAGGTCTGCATCTGTTCCTTTGTGCCACTGTATTCTATTTTCTTGCTGAGAAGGTTTATAAGACCTCATTTAAGCAAATCTTTCGTTATTTCCCACTGTACAATATCAAATTATATCAAACAGAAGCACAAGATGGAATACTTACTGTCAGCCGTCCCATGAATTACCAGTATATTTTCTTCTCTTAAACCATGAATATTATGTAGCACACTGGATGCCTGTAAAGGAAAGTACAAATACATACATACATACATATATATATATATATATATATATATATATATATATATATATATATATATATATGGAGAGAGAGAGATCTATGTAATTTGACTAGTTTTTTTAGAACAAAAATATTCTTCTTTATTCATTATTTTAAAATTCTGTACCTGATAAGTGCTTTCTTCCTTAGATGGCATACCCAGGTATCTTTCAGAGAATGCTGAAGCTGTTATCCAAGAAAACAAAAAGTTTAGAATAAACTAAAAACCACCTTGTGGAATTTCATGATTTATTCTTCATAGATAATGTTAATTTCCATGTCCCAGTAAAATCATTTTAATAAAGTAGTTCATAAAGTACTAAAAACGATCATAATTTAATAACCTTTTGAGTTAAATGAAAACAAAAACTCACATTTTCACAATAATGATAGGCAAGCTCAATTGTGCTCATCTGCATTGAGATTTTCTGTTCCACAAGTCAAGACAGTGAATTAGGTCATTCTGGATAAAAAAACTCACCATACAGCTTCATGTCTGTGATGGGTGCCACTATAGATCCACATTTAAAAAGCTTTTCATCTGATTTTAAGATCATTGATGCAATATAGCCACCATACCCCTGACAAAATAAAAGTTTATAACAATGACTAATTATCACTGTTTGGCAGTCGACATATCAGAATGTTTTATAATGACAAATTTAAGAAATTATATACTAAAATCACTTTGTACCAGTGAAAAATTTGAGGAGTGTATTATATAGGCAATTGATTTCACAAGTAATAGCCTGATATAAAATATAAATTAATTGTGTATCAACAAATGTCCGATGTTTAATTTTGGTTCCATACTATAAGTCAGGTAAAAACCCCAATAATTTTAAGTTTGGAAAATAAAGCCTTTATTGAATTTTATATCATTTTCCGTAAACTAAAAATGCATACACATACATAAAAATGAAATATTTAATAGTGAAGGTTAAGTAGAATTAGAAAAAGAATATAAATTTAAAATACTTCATTATGAATATGCCTTTTGCTTTCAATTCCAGAGAACTAAACATGGAAGGAAATGGGATGTAATGAATAATATTGCTAGTTAGGTGAATTCAATCACTGTTTTGCTTTAATGCTTGAAATCTGAAGGCTTTTTGCCTGCGAATGACTCCAGGCAGGCAGAGCTAATTCCATCTAGTGTCTAGGTTTAAGTGTTCAGATAACAGTTTTTCTCAAGTACCTCATGTACCTCTGACGGCTGAACTGCTGGAGTTTCCAAACAACATGAAAGTTGTTTGTTGAAAGTGGGTGTTTGGGTCATTTCCTCTAGCAGCACAGAAAGTACAGGACTTCGTAGCAGTTTTCCTGAGCATATCCCTTAATGTTCGCTACATCTGTAAAATTTCCTTTCTGCACTAATCCCCTTCCCGTTTCCGTAGGGATGGCAGGAGTAAGTGACCCATTGCTGCTGCTAGTCATGCGTGATTGTAGGAGGAGATTCCTTTATTCTCTGTGCCCTATCCCCACCTGGAGATAGAACTTCGGAAATTGTTCATGTTGTCATATCATAGATTTCTGTCACATAGATCATCTGTTTGTTTTGACTTGTTTTCACTCCTGTTTCAGACTTGATGAAGAGAGTTGGGAATATTTATAAAGAGCCCTGATAGTTTAGTGGATTATGAGCTGGACTGTTAAACCAAAAAATCATCAATTTAAATCTACCAGTAGCTCTATAGGAAAAAGACGAGGCTTTCTATTTCCCTAGAGATTTACAGCCTGAGAATTCGGAACTGATTCCACAGCACGCCACCAGCAGAATATTTATATATGCAAAGATGGGCTATTTTTTCTCCCCTGCTGTTATTATTCAGTGTTGGCAGTTGGCTCTGACTCAAAGCAACCCCCTATAGGGTTTCCAAGGTCCAGTACTTATCCTACAAAGCCACAGTAAGACTACTCTTGAACAGTTTAAAGTTCATTTTTAATATTGTTTTGCATTATTTTTGAGCAAATATAATAATAAATTCCTAAAACTAAGTCAGCTGTGTCCATTATCTTTTAAAACCCACAATCTGAATTAAAAAGTTTCAGAGATTTCAGCAATTATAGCAATGCTGGGCTAAGAATGATCTATTGTAGTATACTAATAAATATATTATATATATATATATATATAATTTTTTAGTAGTACTCTGGGAAATCTTTTTTATCCTGCTGCATATCAGGATTCTCTGTAAGATGGTATTAAAAACTATTAAAACACAGCCATTAGTACCAGAAATTAGAATGCAGTTCTTCATAATGAAATCTACTTTTCAAAAATTTCCAGATGAGTCAAGCAAGATGGCAGATTAGGAAGATTCACTGAGCAGACTCTCTGCAATAAAGATAAGGGAGAGCAAGTGAAATAGACACAGATGGTGGTCCTGGGACACTGAGCTTAGAAAATAGGTCTGAGAGGTGGATTGAGTGCTGATTGGCAGAAGAAGCTGAACAGGAGCACTGAGAGAGAACAAAAACAGACGAGCTGTCACCTGGCATGGAGCGGCTTGGCCATTTTGGGCTTTTGCAAGTGACTACTGATACAGCGGCCTATGTCACATGGGAGACAAAGAGGATGCAGTCCTCCCTTGTTCTCTTGCCCTCCTGGTAGGTGGGACATGATCAGTCCCGCCATCACAAACACAGTGGCCAGTGGAACCTCCTCCTATATGGCCTCTGCCTGGGGTCCTTCTGGAAAGGCACTGAACTAGGGTATACAAACAGCGAACTGAGAACTGTGTTCATACTTCCAGTCTTTAGCACATCCATCAGGAGAACACACCTACATGCAATCATCAATTAAATATCAACACAAAGATGTCTTGGACAAAATAGACAATTTCAGACAGATGTAAATGTTCCACTAAGCACTGCTTTATTTCAGTAAGCAACAAGCATTCCTGACTTAAGTAGAGATGTTTCCTATTATAAAAATCTCAGTAGACTTTACAACATACAAAACAAGGGAAAGCTTACACTTAATATACTCTACTTCTTACTCCTACCAAGCCCCACCCACCTCCCCACACCCCAATTTAAATCCAGATAAATCTTAGGTTATTCAAGACTTTGTTCCTGTTGTTTGGTGCCATTGAGTTGGTTCCAATTTATAGCGACCCTGTATAGGGTTTCTGAGGAGCGGCTGGTGAGTTTGAACCATCAACCTTGTAGTTCAAACCAACTTTGAGGTCGAGTGCTTATCTTATGGTGCCAAACACAAGACTTAATAGAACAAAAATTTCGAAATGACAAACATAGAATTTCATTTATGCTTATTTGGAGCATCATTTTAAAATTCTACATGAAAATTTACAATGCAGTCACAAATTATTGAAGAGGTGTGGAGAACATGTGGGATTTTACTACTGGAATATTTAGCCGTTGGTTCCGACCCATAGTGACCCTGTATAGGGTTTCCAGGAGTGGCTGGTGAGCTTCAACTGCCAACCTTGCAATTCAAACCAACCTTGAAGTTCAGCACGTTAACCCAAAGTGCCACTCATAAACTAAGGAGTCCTGGTGGTGCAAAGGGCTAAGCACTTGGCTGCTAACAGAAAGTTTGGTGATTTGAACTTGTGGCTTAATGCGCCAGACTGCAATGCTGTTTGAACTGCAAGGTCGGCAGTTCAAGCTTACCAGCTGCTCCTTGGAAACCCTACACAGGGTCACTGTGGGTCAGAACCGACTCAACGGCATTTAACAACAACAGCAGTAGCTCTGCAGTAGAAAGACTTGGAAATCTGCTTCCCTAAAGATTACAGTAAAAAAAACTTATGGTCACATAGGATCATTATGAGTCGGAATCAACTCCCTAGCACACAATAACCTCATAAATTCCTGCAATACTTCCCCAATCATTAGAAACTGAGATAAATAAAATTGCCATTTATAGAAGTAAGTCATAGCAAAGTGGTTTTGCCCAGTCACATTGTGAGAGATAAAGTGTTAAGTCAGCAACATTTGGAAGCAGTGGTCTTAAAAACCTTAACACACGTATAGAGTGTGGAAGATGCAAAGCACATGCAAAACACCCAATTAGTTACTGTAAAACAAAAGTAGTGCTTTTCAAGGCTAGAAGTGTCAGTGGCCTGCACTGGACATAGAAGCATGGTACTTCATCCAGGAGCCTTCAAACAGTTCCCATAGCATCCCACATCACAGTTTACTTAACTCTGGTCCTCATTCCACAACGGTCAATAGCACTTTCAGGTGAATATGATCTGACCTTTTATATAATTTGACTATGTTGAGGAAATATTCTAATAAACAAAACAACTATATACATGTAATATAAATCAACAAATCATCATTATATGTGGTAGTTTGTTGTCTTAAATCCCAGTTTTACTGTTAGTTTGATTAGCTCCAGGAAACAAGAAGAATGATGTTTTCAAAAGGAGGGACAGATACTTGTGATTGTTGTTGTGAAGTACCGTTGAGTCAGTTCTGACCCATAGCAACCCCGTATAGGGTTTCCAAGGAGCAGCTGGTGAGCTTGAACCACCAACCTTGCAGTTCAAATGGCTTTGCAGTCTGGCGCATTAACTCACAGAGCCACGCCAGGACATATACTAGAGCCATGCTTTTTAACTTGAAAGTGCATTCACATCTCTCAGGAATCTTGGCAAAATGCAGATTCTGAGTCAATCATCTTGAGTGGAGTCTAAGAGTTTGCATTTTTGACAGGTTCCCAGGGGATGCTTATGCTATTCGTCCATATTTTAAATAGCAATTTCTTATGTCATAATAACATAGTTAAGCCAATCAGAAAAGCTTTCCTAGCTCCAGCCAGCCTTCCCTACACTAACGAAAATGTGGTACAAACCTACAATGGAACATATTCTGCTATGAAGAAAAATACAACAAGGATAAACTTTGAAAACATTGTGCTGCACATCATAGGTCAGACACAAAAAGATAAAAATTGTACGATCTCACTTACTTAACTGGATTGTAAACCACAAGGTCAGCAGTTCAAATCCACCAGCTGCTTCTCAGAAACCTTACATAGGTTTGCTATCAGTCAGAGCCGACTCAATGGCATTTCACAACAGCAAGGACATGGTAGCTCTAAAGGATAAGCACTGAACTATGAACCACAAGATCGGCAGTCAAGCGCACAGGAGAAAGCTGAGGCTTTCTGCTCCTGCAAAAATGTATAACCTCGGAAACCCTGTACTGGTTCGCTATTAGTCAGAACTGACTCAAAGGCATTAAACAACATAAAATACCTAGAGTGGCCAAATGTGAGATTAGAGTTTAATACTGGTTACCAGGGACCAGAGGGCAGGAAAGGAAGGAATCATTGTTTAGGTAGCATTGACGTTTTTGGTATGATGGCAAATTTGGCAATTGATAGAGTCACACAACATAATTGATATAATTTGTTTTAATGACATGTACAAGTGAAAAATGTAGGACTGCAAATGTTGTGTTCTCTACATTTTTAAAACAGTTAAGTAATATGAATCCATACCATGAAAATTTATTCAGAATCCACTGGACTGAATATCTGATGGAGCTCATGATGTGATTCTAAAGTGAAGTCAGAGTTACGAAGACTGCTTCAGTTCAAGGA